AAGTTAAAAATGCACTTTCCACATGTGCGCAAAAATTTAAAGGGGAAAGGGGAGGGGGGATGTACTTGCAATTTCTTGGATTTTACAGTACATAGGGGCATTAGGAAGAATTTCATGAGCTCATTACAGATGTATAATTGATCATTAGGCCCCTTTGCCTTCCTTCCCCTCTTCCCTGATAAGTAAATATATTTAAATACGCTTTATTCTCTAAAATCATAAATTTACAATGCAAAACTGTTCTGATAGATTAATATCCCGTTAAAAATCACATAATGTAATTTGTCCCACTCACCTATCAATAACTGCTGGGCGAACTCTCTTGTCTTCAGGATCTGATGGTGCCGTGTCATTCGAGCAAACGAGACCGTTACAGTTCACAAGTGTAGCAAAATTTGTTGGGCTAAAACAGTTTTTTAAAATATAAATCTATAAGTTTAATAATTTGGGAAAATAAACAAATAACAACGTATTCTATCAAGATAGTTATTTCGGGGTTTTTTTTTTGCAGTTTTTGAAGTGAACTGTCGAATTATCTAAAATAATTATGGTAAAAAATTTCATTCTAACCATGTGTTAGTCTTAAATGCTCTGGAAAATAGCAGATTTAGTTTTCAAAGAATATTAAAAGATACAAAATTGTATTATTTATGTGCACTAAAAGAAAGAATATCTTAATATTTAAGCTTCAGTATTGTCTGCGAAAATTCACATAAAAATCTGATCTCCAGATATAAGAACCATTTTCTAACGCAAAAACAGCACCTTGGAGGCGATTCCGTCGCTTGCGCCAACTCGGTTGACGATCCCTCCTCATCGTTTGGTCCAGAAGTAGAAGTCGACAAGGATCGGTCGGCCATCAATGGTTGCAAGGCGTCCGACGCCATTGTTTGCAAGGAGGAGGACGATGACGACAACTAGACAATATTGCTTTATATTGATCGATAAGAAAAACTCGAAACTTGTTGGAGTCAGAGGTCAGCACAAACAGATTGAATTTATCTTCTGAGAAGAGAAGATGAATGGTATACGGAAAACTATCTTTGAAGAAAGGAAAAAAAGAAGGAGAATATATAAGAGGGAAAGTATGGACCGTGATAAATAATTGTCTGAACAAATGATTTATTTTTGAAATCCTTACGGGAAAAATGGCGAAAAGGCTCAGAAATCTTGAAAAATTTGAGTATGCTCTTGCTTAAGCAGTTGGAAAGTAAGATTTTTTTGATGTACTGGTAGCAATGCGCAGCATTACTACATCTGTCATAGCAATAAAAAACTTTATATCTTC